CGATCAGGGGATGGTTTCGCGTTTCCGGAAGCTTGCATTGTTCTCTTTCGTGCTGTTCCTTAAACATTTCAGATTTACAATTCCAAATTTCTACATGGAATAGTAAGATCAGCTGTAAATTAGAACTTCTGCAACTGCTTTAACCAGTGCCACACCACCTGGTAGTTACGCTGTTGGCCAACCTGACGTTTGTTTCTTCTCTTGGAGGGGTCATCCAACTCACTGACTTTCCTAAGAAGTTTCAGCCGTTTCAAAGCTAATTATCCTTATCGTGTGTTGATGAGGATCACCAGCTCGCTCTGAATTTTGCAATATTAGGCTAAGAAGGTACCTTCCTGACAAAGAGGAAAAATTCGGATACTGATCGTAACTACTGTATGCGTTTTTTAATCTTTATTTTAAAATTACAAAGACCCTTGCACAATCGTCTTTGAGCTTACTGGACTTACTGGACAGTATAATTATATTTTTTTCTTCGTGCTTGTCTTTTGTACTAAGTACGTGATACTGTAATCCAAAAACACCGAGTTTCAAATCCAATAGTGCACTTTTAGTACAGTTTAGTAAATACCAGCTGATTTTTAAGATATCCAGGCTAAAAGCTGTTTCTTCCCCTTGGCCATTATTATTCAACGTCTGTCTGTTTGATTCATTTTTTTTTAGCAAAAAATACAATACATCAACAAAAAAAAGACTGTAACTCACTTCGTGCAAGCGACCATGACGGTACTAATTTAGCCGTTGGCATTGTACTATTCACCTGAAATATGTAATACACTCATACAGCACTGAAGTTAAACTAGCTGTCTAGCAAAAATGAGAGAAAACAGATGGACAAGACGGATAATCAAATGGTAACCGTGCACAGTTTTTAAAGGACCCAGGGAGAACTGCTGTTGCCGCTAAAGATCCGTATTAACTGTGTGGGATTATGTGGATGAGTGAGGATTAAAATGGAGGAAAACACAGGAGCTGTTAGCTGCATCAGTGATTAGAAGAAATGAGACGATAAAATAACATTTGATCAAAGTATACTCCCTGACCATAAATATGTGATACAGTAATGCCTTTGACAAGTGCCCAACAGAATGAAAAAATACTCGTTTATACACACAACTACTATCATACGTAGAATTTTTTAGGTAAATTTTGAGTTTTATACCTCATATTTATCCAGAAAACGTGCAATGACACGCTTGAGAAAGGTCAAGTCGTTCAATAACGGGTAATATTTATTCAGCTCGTCGTCATGCACCAGTGGAAGATGTTCAAGCCTAATCAAGGCATCTTCCAGCATCGCTAGTTTATTCAAAACCTATAAAATCAAAATTTCTAAAAATGAAATCTATAAAAACTGGAAATGGAAAAACAGAAATGCTTAGACCGTCCGGATAATT